GTTGTTTATGTGTTATACTTCAAAAATAGTATCATATTAGTATGGTGGCTGATTTACATCACTTTAGGCCTCAAGTCACACGGTTGGATTTTGAAGTACAACAGCAATTAAAACTGAGATTTTTCAAGCAAATCCCTTTCTGTGTGGGAAAGGCCCACTAATTTTTTTAAAAAATTGTACCCAAATAAATACGAAAGGAAAAAGGAACATTTTTTCCCCTTAATTCCCAGTTGTAAAAGACCTTTCCCACCCATGACAGATGACTTAATTTCCAAAATTTTTCCCTGAAAAATGTGTTTAATGGGTTGGGAAAATTCCAGGGAAAATTTTCAATATAGTAGTAAGATGGAGTAAAAAGATGTTGAAAAACTTTTGGGGAGCCCCTAAGTTGTGGCATGTTCGAATCGCAAATTACTCAGACATTGATTATAGACTTTTGAAAAAAAATTCCATCATTATTTATGCAGAAAAATATTTTTTCACTGTGAGATCAAAATACCGAACAGACTTCAGGGTGCTTAGTTGCATTTCCTAAATGCTTTCGCCATGCTATCTATGACCAACCTCTTAATCAATCTTCATAGTCTATACCAACAATTATATTTACACTTATTTCAGTAATAATAGTGAATAAATTCTGTAAGGGATCTATTCGAATGAAATTGTTTTGGAGGGAGACCTGGTGATTCATACAATATAGATTTACGGTCAGAATTTACGTGTTGTATTGCTTTGAAAAGTGTACATCAAATCTCTAACATGTCTAATACGTGTTGTACAGCTAAATACTACCGTCTATTGAGGCGTTGTCTTTTCACTAGCAAGAACGACCATGAAACAAAAAACGCAAAAACTTGAAAGACGGCACTCAAACGGCGATATTTTCGGCGATTTGAGATCGTTTAGTTTTGTTATGGACCACCCCCCTCCCTCAGTTTCGCCTGGGCATTTCTCGAAAAGTAAAGTAATGTATTCACCCTCAATCCTAGGTTACTGCTCCAAGCATTCTATATGACTAAATAAGTTTATACCAGCATAGACCACAACAATTTAATCAGTTACCATCAATATATATATATTTTGCGTTACCAGCTATCACATAAATATACAGCACTTAAAACACAAAGGTGAATCATAACTTGAAGCAGTAATGACCTACGGTTGTATTTGATAAACAAAAGATACTGATCAAATTTTATCTCATTTTATGTGGTAAACAATATCCGGCTTGTTAATGTGGTTATTAAACTAACACTTGTAAGGTTGAGATGTGGAAAGAACAATAAAAATAATATTTATGAGGTATCAAAAGTTCATTTCTCGCTGATATAATCAAACAATCAATATTACATGAAAACGAGGCTTTGTTTAAAATAACCAAATCACATGGTTAGGATCAAAATTCAAAGGTCAGCTAGGATTTTTTTAACCAACTTTGTCGTTAAAAATCTTTTTCCTCGTGCTGATTTTCACTTAAACACTTTTATTTTTATTTTCTCCTGATAAATATATATTTCCTAAGATATGACTCTTTATAAAATTTTAACAATTCTTTTCTAATAATCAATTCAATTTAATAAGTTGTTTCAAGAGGCTAAATTACGAAGAGGCAAATATTGTACAATTTTACAAGAGGTAAAAAAAAACCCTGAAAATATCAATTTAATTTGATTTTGTAAAACATGTGAAGCACATTAAGTGGGAAAATATCTGCAAAGGCTAATATACTGAATCCTAAATCGAAAATCGATAGTTAGTGAAATACTTCGACCAATTTGATTGGCATACGTTGCAAAGCTGTTCATTTTTTTTTTTTGGTCATTTTTCACAACAAAAATGATTATTCTGAAAAGAAACGGGATGAGGGAAAGATCTGAAAATTCACACACAAGATATTTGCCAAGACCTGCACCAAATGGTTAACAAATGAGCCAAGTCACGACAAAATCAACATAATGGGTTTTCGACCAGCATACAAACTCTGTAACGAGTAGAGAAACTGATAGCGAACAGCATGGATCCTGATCAGACTGCGCGGATGCGCAGCCTGGTCTGGATCCATGCTGGTCGCAAACCCATTATGTTGGTTTTGTCGTGACACGGCACAAATCTTGAAAGAAAATTTAGTCCCGTCATGTCAAAACAATCAGTGGAGTCACTTTAATTAAGGTATCAACATCTTGTTACAGATCATGAGATAAAAGGTAAAATGGTGAATGAAAAGTGAGGCAACGTATTCCGCTCAAGGGAAACTCACCTTGTTTTGATATATTCGATGAATGTTAATTAAGTCAATTCAATCTTGATATCATTCACAATATGTTAATCTGTGGCCACAAAATCATCGTTAACAATAACAACTTTCAATCATTTATAAGTAGAATAATCTAATTGTCTATCATTATTTACTGCTATCGCTATAATTGCGCTGTTATTTAAAGGCCAACTATGCCCCGAATGTACTTTATTTTTAAGTTCTTACAAGCTTTTTATTTCTGGTGTACTTTTTAAGTTAAAGATACTCATTGGCCAATTAGCTGACCTTTCTTTTTCTTCTGTTACTTATTGGAAATTTGTTTAGTTACAGTGATTGCATATTTTGTATGGAAGTCAAAATACTCCTTTGTTTACATTTTGCTACTTTAATGACAAATAATTTCACACTTACCGCTATTTTCTTTAGGAAACAAGCACCAAGCATGCTCGTAAACCATTATTTAAATGTTGTAAAACTCATGTGAAGTTAAAATTTGTTTCTGATGCACTATATGTGCCTGTAATAAACTGGTTACACTGATAAATATAGCTGTTATAAACTTGGTTCATTTTAAAGGGTGATTAATGTTTTTTGTTTTTTTTTATACTTTAAGCAAATATTTTCAATGGCTAAATATACGACTGAGATTACAACTTTACACTTTTCACAAGAGTAATACAATCCACAAGAATGGCGCATTCGTTTTATTTATCTTTCATAATTTCGTTATTTTTCAGAACATCAATTCTGTTTGTTAGCGAACATACGAATTTTTAAATAAAAAATCGTTTGTTATCAATAGTATATCAAGTTTGTGTCCAGTTATTAGAAAATCAAGTGTGTATATAAGCTTTAGACCTCATTTGTGCGTCGACTTATTTAGAATTAGTTATCAAAACATCATCAAAATTATATTTTTCTGTGTAAGGGCATGGTGTGTAAGGACATGGTGTGTAAGGGCACGGAGAGTAGCTAGCAAAGACATGAATTTTAGCAAGGTAATCAATAAATCATTTGAGCCGTGTCATGACAAAACCAACATAGTGAGTTTGCGACAAGCATGGATCCAGACCAGCCTGCGCATCCGCGCAGTCTGATCAGGAGCCGTGCTGTTCGCTATCAGTTTCTTTACTTGTAATAGAGTTGATAAGCGAACAGCATGGATCCTGATCAGACTGCGCGGATGGGCAGGCTGGTCTGGAGCCATGCTGGTCGCAAACGCACTATGTTGGTTTTGTCGTGACGCGGCTCAAATCAATTTTGTTCACAGAATATATTAATTTTATAAATATTGATAAGTATTAGGACATCAATTTGGTGATAGTTTACAAGAATTTTGTTTTGAGAATATTTATTTTGACATGAATTTTAGGTACCCGGTTTATACATGTATTTAGTACAACAGCAACAACTGTGTATATAAATGTAGATATAACATTATAAAAAGCCCTTCGATCCTGTTTGAATTGTTTTGCCATCGGAACATTCCTTTTATAGAGGAGAGCACACACTTCGATCAGGGCATCATCTTTGTGCAAAGCTATTAGAACTAAAATTGTTTGCATGGTTGTTAAAAATCAGTTTGTGTATATCTATCGTCAAATTCGCGCATCTATTCCAAGACACCATTATTACACATTTAGAGATTAATTTTATTAATAGTGGTTGTGACAACAATTTCTGTATAATAGTAATGTGAAAAGCCATCCGTTTGGTTATAGTTATTAGGACACCATTACTGTATATAAATGAGCCGTGCCATGACAAAACCAACATAATGGGTTTGCGACCAGCATGGATCCAGACCAGCCGGCGCATGATCAGCATCCATGCTGTTCGCTTACAAATCCTATTACAAGTAGAGAACAGCATGGATCCTGATCAGACTGCGCAGATGCGCAGGCTGGTCTGGATCGGTTTTGTCATGGCGCGGCTCAAATGTTACTCTGTGAAAAGTTGAAAGGACAGCAATTCTTGGTACACTTACGACATTATGAACACATCTGCAGAAATACAAAATTTCACCAATTTTGTATTTAAATGTTAAATTCTGCTTAAACCGTTTCTAAGGGGCATGGACGGTAACTTGCACTTTCCATTACCGTCCAATTAACATGTTCTATCAAACAAACCCTGCAACATTTTCAATTTTGTTGCTTTGAACGTTCTTAAGGGATTCCAATTTTCTCTATGATGTAAATATGTAAAAGGACTTCAATTTTGTGTTCAGTTAATGAACAATTTAAGGGACTTTAATGTGCGTTAAGTTCCTAGAAAATTTATATAATTATGTACATGATCGCTAATCTTGTTCATATTATTTTGATAATTTTTTATTCTTACAACTACGTTTTTTGTAGGTTTAAGGCAAAAGTACGGAGAACATCTATCATAAAACATTTCATGTCGTTTCCGTTACTATTGTCTTACATTGTTTCACATGTATTCAATTTTGCAATAAGAAACCATGAATGAGTTGCGATTGAAATTTCGAGCGTTGGTGGTTTATTTCGAAAATTCAGAACCATTGAAAGGTTATTGAACAAGCCGAGGTCATTCACGTTCTTTCGTCCTATTTGTTTATTCATACTATATTGTTGTTTTTGATGATGTTATCTATGTAGATACATCATTAGAAATAATCTCGTTACGGGTCATTTCATCTACTCAAGACCTCGTTTCCTGACGCTAGGTCAATTGACTATAAAATACAAAAAATCTTATTGAATAAATTCAAAATTAACTCGGTTTTATGAAGACGAAGATCAAATACCTAAAACTTGTGTAAGATTAAAGTGCACTTTATTTCATCAACATTTTTCATTTATTTGTGTTATTTTGAATGAAACATTGTTGTTTCTGCATTTCTATCGGTTTTGTATTTATTGACTTATTTGTATCTTTTGTCATTTAGATAATAATTCTATTATGAACATAAATGAGTGTTCACCTGATACCTTTTACTTTAATTATTGTAATCAGTCGAATTTTGATGTTGTGTTTTAAAAGAATTCTTTAATGGTTTGGTTTAAAGTAATATCAACACTTAAGCGATCACGTTTCGACTTTTTCAGCTATAATTAGAGGAAGACCTTTCACGACCTGTAGACATACCGATTTTTCGTGTGGTAGATGCTGCCAGCTGAATAGACATATCTGAATTCAGAGATGTCGGACATAAGGGTATCGTTGGTTGTTGTTTTGATAGCTCTTACAATAGGATCTATTGATGGAAGAAACACACCGAGAAGGAAATCAAATACACAAACAAATTGGAAAAGTAAGATATATATGTTTAGTAACTTTTTGTTTTTTCTTTCGATTTTTTTTTCAAATATATGTTATTTTATTATTATTTTTTAATAATATCATTTTGGATTTATTTATTTTTTACTTATTTATGTATTTATTTTTTTATTTTATTTATTTTATTTTTATTTATTTATTTTTGTTGTTGTTGAAAAGGTTTGATATATTAGTTTTATGACAAAAGTATTTTGTACATATTAATTTATGATTGATAGCAGGAGTAAGTTCTACATATATAGAAATGTATTGGAAACATATATTATTAACAAAAGTCATTTGTACAGACAAGTCGGAAAAGTATTATGTCTGAAAAAGGCTGAAATTATTTGCACAGTTGAAATTTGATCGAAGGAAAAGTTAATGCAATCATACTCTGTAAATATTTCTGCATATACAATGAGCTGAAACTAACATTTTCCTTTATTTTACACAGGTTTCTTCTGTTCCACATGGTTTCACTGGCCTTGGTTGGAAAATTCAAGTAAGTTTTTAGTAATTATTGCTTTATATTTCATATTTCTAAAATTTCCATAATAGTATAGACTTTATAAAGGTTCGGTCACCATGACAACGGAGTCTAATAATCATTTGTCTCTCACCTCTGTCTTTAAATCATTTGGCACATGCAGAGAAATTTGTAATTATTTGTATATAATCCAAAACAGCCGGTTAGATTGACAGGGCGCCGAAATATGGTTTAGAGATATGTCAAATCGACTTTAATTCTTTAGGTCTTAATTCAAAATTTTACCATTTCATGTTAAAATGTTGAATTCTGCTTAAGCCGGTGCTAGGGGGCATGAACGGTAACTTGCACTTTTCATTACCGTCCATGAACAGGCTCAATCAAACCGAGCCTGCAACATTTTCAATTTTGCCGTGTTGGGCTTTCTTTAGGGATTCTGTATTTATCTATTTTAAAAAACAGCCAAACAATCAAACAACAAAGATAAACTGAATTATGACCCGTTCTTAACCGTTTGATTATTATTGGGATTGATGTTGTTTTTCCCCGCCTGTGCTTTCTGTAAAAGTTGAATACACTGAATATATTGATAAGCTGTTGACGGTTAGGGGCTCTACTTAAATAGCTTCAACTACCTGAACCATAGTATGGTGAATATGCATGAAACGTCAGACTATGAAAGAAACGGTATAAGTCATACTTGATATTAGATATCTATATCATACATAACGAGAGTACATATTCGGACTCACCGTTATAAACTTTATTGAACGTAACTACGAATATTACTATTCAGGAAATATAACCTATCAGCGTCTAGTACATATAAATTTATATCGACCAAATATGGTAATTGCGGCTTGCTTTAATTGGCTAAAGGGTATTCTATTTCTAATAAATATATATTATAATCGTTAACGCAATTGAGAATTAAAAATGTTTGCTTAGAATGTATGAATCGTTTTGGTATAGTTTTCTGTAGGACAGGTGGTATACTTGTAATTTTGTTGTTTGAAAGAAAAAAAGAATCTGACATGTTCTTGTTTGACTTCCATGTATACTATTATCGTAAATCCATTATTTTTTAGATTTGGTGTCGTATTCAAGAGAAAGAGTTTCACAAAAGCGGTCCTTTGTAAGAGATTGTGAAGTTGATGTTGGCACCTGTCCAGTAGGTGCATGCTTCAAGTGTCCCGATTCCGGTTACATTTGTCCAGAGACAGAGACTCGAACTCATACATGTCAGGAATTCGGCACCTGGTCGTATGAGTATGTAAAGAAATGTATATGTTGTAAGGATCATGGTTTGACAGTGAACGTTAAAATTGTTGATTCTGAAACTAAAGTTGGGATTGAAGGAATAAACATTCGATTTGAAAAGAATATCATCGGTGACTCAGATGCAAACGGTCGTTTGGTGTCTGTAGTGCCATCTGATTCAAGAAACATAGTGATACGTGCAACTGATTTAAAAACTGATACTTATATAGAAACTGTTAAAATATATGACATCATGGAAGGATTTTTCACGACGGTAGAGGTGGAAATAGCAATGGTCAGAAAAACGTTTTCACTTGAATTCGATGCCACTAAGAAGATAAGCATCTGCCTGTCAGAGAATCAAAATTGTTTAGAATCCAAAGATGGGACGCCACAAATAGACATTGCACCAGGGAGTTTAAGAAATAATAACAGACAGATATACAAAGGACTTGTAAAGATAAGCATTTCTCTTATAGACGAAAGTAATGAGAACTCAGAAGCTAAGATACCAGGACGTTATGTATCTTCAACAAGCAACCCCGTCGCTAAAATTATTCCGCTATTAACATTTTCATTAGATTTTAGGAGCAACAATAATGAAAAGCTCCGGATAAGCGAAACCGTGAATTTTTTTAGTAGCGACTCGAACAACGCTAGGATCTGGAACATAGACTTACAAACAGGTTTTTGGCGGGAAGCAAAAACAACTTCCGTTACAAAGAGAAGAAAACGACAAACTGCGGATCAGACACAATTTTTGACAACGATTGTGAGTGGACAGTGGATGACGCTTGGTCAGATATCTAGTTTACCTAGCTGCTATATTAAAGCAAAAGTATTTGACGAATCAAGTGGTACGGATATAAGTAACAGTTTAACCACATTTTATCAGTCTGAAATTATTGCCACAGACAGTAATAACCAGAAGATACGATATTATTTTGCTCCGACACAAACGCTAGAGGACACTTGTTTCGAAGTAAGCTGTCCGACTGACTCTTCGCTGTCAGGAACTATACAACTTAAAGCTATTGTAAATGTTGGTACTCCATTGACTTCAGCGATTACGTATCTTAGTTCAAAACCCCTAGGAGATTACGAGCTATCGATACAGTCTAAGCACACAAACATTGAATATAGTTCTACAAGTTATCTTGAAGAGCCAGGAACATATGCTAAATTTACATCTGATCCAGACGGACCATTCTTCGAAGATATTTCCACTTGCGTAGGGTCGGATGCTACGAAACCAGCATTCCATTTTATTTATTCTGATCCATTAACAACCGTGTCCCCCTCAACGACTCATGCAAAGCTTTGCACTGCTAGAATCGGGTTTGAGGACCCTGAAGGACTCTTCTTTAAATATTTGTCAAGTTTAGATACGTTACCCACTATAGAGGCCATAAGCACCTGGGAAGAAGGCTATGACAGGTTTTATTTTACAGACTTTAGTAGGATGGAATACTCATCTGGTGGAGGATATTACTACGCATGCGTAAAATACCGATGTGCTCCACCGGCAGAAGAACCATACGATGAAAGTATTGGCGACACGGCATTATATTTAGACATTCTCTTACCGGATAAAGTCAAAATCGATTTAAATGATGACGGGGTAATGGTAGACCAAAGTGTTGACTGCAAGACAGGGAATTGTCATGGGCCTTTCTGTATTTCACAATATCAATACAAAGCGGACAAGAATTTCATAGATGGAAGTCTTTGGGTGGAAAGAGGAAACAATGTACCTGGCAGTTTCTTTTTACCAACTAGCGATCCCCTGGCAACAGACACTTGCAGTGCTAGTTCAATAACAACAGACTTTGCTTATACTATGAAATGCTTTTTTGGAAACCCTCAGTAATTGAAGTGTTTTGAAAATGTAATGAATTTTATGCTTTAATTACATTACCTGTGTTATCTTTTTTCTCGTATGAAAGTAAATTGTATAGACAGTTTTAATTTATATGTAGTATAAATGTACATAATTCCAAGCTCGTGCGAACAAGACTTTACAAAGTCAACAAAATGTAATATTGTATAACTACTCGCTGTTAAAGCACACATGTATTATATAACTTTTGTAATATGCACACGAAAAACAAAACGGAATTATCTATCTTTATGCATAACATTTTTTTAAATTTTATTTATTCATTTTTTTGCTATGACAAGCGTCTTAATAACTAATTGTCAATCATGAATATAATTGTTTTGAGGGTTGTTTTGGTATTTTAGTGATATAATTCCATATATTTAAATATATAGAATTTTACCATGTTGAGGCAAAATATATTCCATATTTTACGGAAAACTTAAAAAACATTAAATGTTGCCGTCAAGAAAACACAAACAATATAAGTTGTTAATGAAAACTCACATTTGCTAAATTGCTACATAGTTGAAATTGTACAGCATGCAGTAATACATTGATTATTAAAACATGCGTGACATGTTTTAATGTATGACCACCCTAATGGGTTTTTTTACGGAACTGGAAAATTTACAACATAGGTCAGAGGATGCCTGTATGCAAAATTTACCGTACGGTTAACGAGTTATGGACACTTTTCTGAACTTAAGCTTTGATATTAGAAGGGCTCTTTCACTAGAATTGAGGAATCTTTAAATAATCTATTATTTCATCCTTATGCAATGTTTTTGCCCATTAATAATGGTTTCGAAACAAATGATAATATTCAGCTTACAATCATAAAAAGGAAAATGATTGTTAATACTCAAAATGAAATATGTATACAAATGTTCACCTACCCCCCTAATGTTAACACTTCATTGACATTTTCTTATTAAGATGGCCTTATGAAAAAATCCATAGAATTTACCAAAATAAGAGACTGTTTTCAAATTGTACTTAAACATTTCAAAAGTGAATTGGTTGGTCTTGTGAAATATAAAAAGGAGATTTAGCATTATTTAGCTAATGAATATCTAATAATAAGTATATTAATTATATAGTTAAAATAAAATACTGCTTTCTTTCCAAAAGGGATATGAGATATTAATATTAATGTTAAAAGAAAACAAAAGTTAATCTTTGTGGTGGGTTTTGAATCGACGGCCTTAAGTTTCAATACAATTGATAGTATTCTAATCTATTTGAATTATTGTATGGCACGATATAATGCACCAGAAGCGCACAAGTAATACTTACAACAAATAACGTGAGAACAGTCCAGTGAATTAAAAGAAGTCCGGATTTCTTTTGGGGAAAATCATTCGTGCACGTAAGGAACCTATTGAAACGCAAAGTGAGTGCTCAGCCTATAGAAACTTATCGAAAAAATCGCAAGGATTTGGCTGCACTCCCACAGCAATACCTACACAGATGTATATTAACGATTGGGACAAGATCCTTGCTGTAACTTATCCACAGCGGATGGAGTTACCGAATACTTATACTGTATCAAATAAGATGTAATTGTATTATGCAGATTTTTTGCGGGCTGATGATGTTTCGCATTTAAGCAATAAATTACATTAATCTTATATATTATTATCTGTATTTTTGCCTCAATATACCTGTATTGAAATTAAATTAAAACTATGCGGCCATTTGAAAATTCGTCAAAATGTATTTTTATGCATTAATACTTGTGTCCTGTAGGTAAGCCTTTACAAGTGTTCTCAAAATATATTTTACCCTTGTAAATAAAATGTTTAGTATGTTTGCTAGTACAACCATAATTTTTCTTCAGTTTTGCCTCACAAGGTTCTTTGGTATTCTGTGAAGTTTTGACAAATATATTGTTTTGAAAACCTTTTCAAGTTCTCTCCTCATTATGCAGAACAATAAATATGTGCCAGTAAATTGACCTTACAATTTTGTGTTACAACAATATTGAGATGTTCTTGCAACTTTCATATATAGTTAGAGCGGAAACAGTGGTAAATCCGACGTTCCAGGAATTATAGTCATGAACATACATAAAAGATGGACTTTGACAAGAACTGTATATATGAGAATTTAGAATTCTTTTTACATGAAATGTGATATGGTTTATTGAATGTTGGTAATTTTGGATATAAGATATTAAAGCTCTTGAAGAAATATACTACATCACTTAATATTGTATATGCTTGTGAATATAATTATTGCCTATAACACACGCACATGCACACACACGCACGCACGCACGCACGCGCGCGTGCGCACACACACACACACACACACACACACACACACAGAACGCTTGTTCTTTCTGATATCCAAGTTTGATTATATACTTGCATTCGTAAGGAAATAAACTGTTAACTTTAATACGGCATGTCAAATACTACAGAAGCTCTGTTTAAAACGAACACCTATGGTAATTAGCAAACTATTTGCAATGTCAATAGTTTAAGCTGGATAAAGCCTTTGATTAGAAATAAGAACAGGAATTTTTCCTATGTACGAGATCAAGTGCCATTTTTCCGATGTACGAGATGAACTGCCACTGTTCAATTAAACAGGCAATAGTATAATTTCTCTTTTTGTGAACTCGGTCACTGTTAACTATCTTAATTCTATTGATCTTAAAAGTTAATTAACCATTATGATTTGTTCATATAATACAATTTCTTTTATTCTCTTTCTTAAGGTTAGATTTTACATTTTACGGTAGGGAAGGGAGAAGTTATTATGTATGCACGAGACACCTAAACAGTAAATGTTGTTTTTTTTTAATTTCAATACTTGCATGATTAATCTTTTGTTTTTAATCTTTAAAAAATGTACTTGATTACAAGTTTATGCAATTGAAGTGCAAAAAAAAAGGATTTTTGCTTCAATTTTAATCTGATGTAAAAATTAATCTTACACTGCAGTATCTTACATTTGGCGTTTATTGTAGCTGGTTTATAGTGAATAAATACCTTTAAAGCGGCTAATAAGTTTTCAAGCATTTTCATATTGAGACCCCCGCCTTTAAGTCCGATTGCATTTTTAGTGGGGATCTTTCAACCACAGGAAATTGAAACGCAAAGAGCAAGTGATAAGAGGCTATGTCATTCACGGGGTGCCATGGTACCATACTAAAACAAACAAGCATTGACTCATAAAAAATATTACAGATACTTTGTTTTTCAGTTTAATATTATATCTATAGCAGACCACAATGCTATTGTTCATGTTTAAGAAGAAAGAGATATAAAAGACAGGTATGGTGTAATTTTGCAAGTATTTTATTATGTTATTTCATTACAAATAAATTATTTACTTTTTTATCATTTATATGCTGAAAGTGGTTAAACCTACACTGGACTAGCGGTTGAACAATCTAACATTATGTTTCCTTTTTATGCCCCCATATTTAATATGTACGATAGGCTATTCGTTAGGTTTGTGGAATTTTATCATTAAATGTAAACCAATGTAGCAATTCAATGAATAATGTGCAAACATATAGATTTCATCAACATTTCTGCATATTATGTTACTTTTATGGAAATATATAAATAGCGTAGTTAAATTATAGACATTTAAATAGCACCGATTAACATATTTTCCGGACTCAAAACGTCATTAACAAATCAAAAGGACACCGCACTTTCACGACGTAATCACGGCGGATGTTTATGTATTTCCTGTGTTTGTAGACCACTTGGCAAATGTTTCCATGTACCACTGAGCGTCGGATGATCGTATGGCTTCTTCTATGGTCGTAGTTCTTGTCGAATTTCCGCCAGTGTATACGAGCCTTAATTTCAGGGAAACAGAAAAGTTCATCGGGGCTAGGTCGGGCGAGTATAGTTGGTGTTTTTTCCCATATATTTTAGGATAATAAGAAATCATATGAAGTTCAAAATGCTGCTTTCTGCTTAAGCCGATGCTAGAATATTTATCTAGTTTGCCAATAAACGCATAAACAGAGCCTGCAAAGTTTTGGGCGACCTTTGTGTGTCTTTTATATTGTATATTGTGGGCCGCATCTCTTGATTAGCTCTATTGTCATATATTAAGATTTCAATCATGGTCTAAATTAGTTTTAAACTTATAGATATTACAATTATTAAGATTATAAAAGATATTCCTGATGTTTTTTTCTGGGGAAAAAATTTTTTGGTTTTTAAAATTTTATGACCCTTCTAATGGTAAAAATAAAAATTTTTTATTAAAAATTATTTTGCAAAGTCCTTAAAAATACATTTTTATCTCTCAAATTTTCAAGAAAGTTTAACGGGTCGTAAAAAAAGAAAAATCAAGAACTGTTGAAAGGGACACGATTTTAAATTTTCGTCGACATTTTTTTAAAAAAACCCCCGTTTCAAAGGGAAAATTAGTTTTTTTTTAGACATGGGGGGAAATTTTTTAGGTAAAATACTCTGAACTTTTCAAAAGTAAAAAATGGGCCCATTAGTTTAGTTTTTAAAAAAAATTTCTCTTAAAAATTTAAAACATTTAAACATTATATTATTATATAATTATGCATATAATAACCAGGATCAGTTCTAACGAGTGCCGCATGTTTGTCATCAAACGTATACCCATATTTGCCATTTATTGTTTAAATTCTTTTTTGTATATATAAACTGGCAATTTCTGAAAAGAGTCCTAAACTTTATTCTTATTGATTGTTTTTGGATGAAACTGATTTTGCGTAAAACTTATTCAATATTTTGTATTTCAATGTATTGACAATGTAATTTTAAACTAATTATAATGATTAGTCTTTTTTGTCCATTTTTGTAATTGGTTGGGAATGATAAACGCCTTTTTCCAAAACTTTTTTAACATTTCTTATAATGAAAAAATATTTTTTAATTCTGTGAAAACGAAAAGTCCCTTTTTAAAATTTCCCAAAAAAAAAATATTTGATTATAACTAAGTTTTTTGGGTCGAACAATTATAAGGGGATTTCAAACCCGCCAAAATTGTTTTCAAAATTTTCAAAATTTTGCCCTGGTTTTCCCGCCCAAATATTTCAGTTTTTTATTTTAAATTTTCCTTTTTTACTAAAATTTAAAAATTTTGTCCTAAATAAATTAGAAAGGGGTTTTTTAAAAAATTTTGCCCAAAATTGGTTCAAATCATTAAAAAATACCCCGGGATAAAAAGGGAATTTATTTGCAAATAAACGGAATAGTAGTGGTTTTAAAAAATTTCTGCACGCAAGATAAAAGAAAAGAAAAAACTTCAAACTGGGGAAAAATAATTTGGTCGATAAAAATTTTGCAAAATTAAAAGCCCTTTATAAATTTTTTTTGAAAAGATTTTTTTGAATCAATAGTGAGAAATTATTCCCAAAATTAAAACTTAACACCTTTAAATAAAAAAATTTTCCAAATTTTAAAATTTTCTTTTTCAAAACCACCTGTTTCAACTAAATTAAAAAAACATAAAAAAAGCAGGATTTTTTTTCTCTTTAAAACATAAAAGGTAAAAAAAAAAACCCTACCCCCAACAAATCCAGACAAAAAATTTTTATATTTTTAAAAGATTAAATTTTTTTTTCAATTAAAAAAATTTTAGAGCCCTTCATTTTCTAAAAGGTGACCAAGTTGAAAGGGTTGGGCCTTTAAACTCCTTTTTTAAAAAGGAAAAAAATTTTTATTAAAAAAGTTAACAAAATTGTATCAACAATATCTGTTAAACTGCTTTGGAATAATTTTGTTTAATCCTAAAAGCCTTTCCTTTTTCCCCCCACG